CACTTGGTGACATGCGGCGCATCGCACATGTGCATCGTGTTTTCACTTGAGTGAAAATTTGTCCTAATCGATCAGAACTTCGTTCACTCGCCGGATGCACTTCCACGAAAGGGGAAAGGAACTTCCGGTCGGCATCGCGGACGCACACGAAGTCAGGATGTGAGATTTCTTTCTGTCTCGCTCTCTTGCCCATTTTTTTTTTTTATCTGCATATCTGGTTTGCCATCCGGTTGACGTATCGAACGGGAAATTTTTTCCCTTCTCGAAAGAAGCGCTCGGCTGTCTATTTAAAGAGGCGGGACTTTATTGCGCATTCAAGAGGAAACGATACATTATCGAGCAACCACCTAGCACGGATACCTTGGAGTCGCGCCATCGGCGCCGATGGCGCTTTCCCGGGCAACGAAATTTTTGGCGGACCGCCAAAAGCCCGGAAGAAACGTTGGCGTCGACGTCGGAAAAACCTGGGAAATATTTCCCCGCACATAAGCCGCTTTATTTCCGGCCACCATATGTTAATAGAGAGATCGACGTTTACTCTTTTAAGTTTTTTTTTTTTCTTATTATAGTATAACGTAGCTCGATGAAAGAGTGGCCTTTTAATGGAGAACCTTCTCCCCAAAAATACCACGTAAAAAAACGATACCATTATTAGATAAAATTCCACTTTGACTTTCTAAAAGGAAAGAATTTATCGGAATTTTACTCCTTTATTTTACATATGTGATGCGCACGTGCGCGCGCATGTGTTTTAACAAGGTATTCATAATCTGTAGCCATTCATTTTTCTTCCCCACCTTAAATCTGTAATTTTTAACTTATTTGTAATATTATGCACGTTTTATAAACCGTTCTAAAGTTACCCTTATTTCTTTAACGTATAGAATTTTTAATGAATTTGTAATATCAATCTTTTTTTCATAAAAATTTAATATAATACGCCATTTTTACAATTTCAATTTTTTATACTGTACACATTATTATAAAAACTCTTTATATATATATAATAATTCTTTTAATCAGCCTTATTTAAAAATTTTGTATTTAAATAACAGAAAATTTTTATGTTTATTTATAGAAACGTTTTATCAGGTTAAAAGCTTATGAGAAAATAGCATGGAATGGAAATGCAAGGAATCTAGGATCCGATTCAAAGTTTGCAAACTACGGAATAACTATCAACATTTCTTTTATTCAATTTACTGTAGTCTGCAAGGTGTAAACCATCTAGTGATCCATTTTATAAGGGAAATACTCGTAAAGTAATTTCACGAATACCACGTCTATTGCTATCTGTACGTTATGTACGAGCAACGCGCTCCTCGAAAAATTTCGCCCGGGCATAGTTTCAAGGAGTATCCCCAAAGTTATTTCCGATTTGTTGCCGACATATCAATAGTGGAGCAGTAGCTCGCGACTTACGCTTCCTGCAATCCGCTCGGAAACTGGTCAAACTTTCAGCCGAAGGTGGGAGGCTCGATTGTACGTTTCTCTCTTCCTTCCTTTATCGGACGAAACAGAAGCAGAAGTAGATAGTTACATTCCTGGTAACGATCGAAATTCACATGACCTCAATATATCGTGTTGAGATCGATCGCTGGACAGCTCCCTTACGTTTGCGCTTCGCTCTATTCCACAACTTGTGTCGCCAACTTTCATGAGTCGCTCCTCAATGTCTTGAAAGTGAACGATGTTGTTTAAAACACAATATTACTGAATCTAGATTCTATTGCGATAAATTCTAAAACGTACAACGTAGGGGTTTTGAAATCCCTATTTGTGGGAAAGGATACTTGTATGCGTTACATAAATCTGGATCCAAATAATAAAATACTTGTAAACATATTATTTTAATCTACGATATGCAATTTTTAATTAAAAAGGTACAAATAAAATAATAAAAAAGATATAAAAGTTAAAGTAAAAATAATATATCAGAAGACGTCAAATAATCTGTACCAATATCTAAATGCATTAGATTTTTTTTTTGCATTGTGCTACAAAATCGTGATTGTTATAACTTAAATATATCGAATTTTTTATATAAAAAAAATAGCAATATAAATCAAGCCGTGTATTTTGATTTCGATTGAGTTATTTATTGGATTAGAAAAGTTTTCATGCAATCACATTTCGATTTCTTGTAACACGAGAAAGTTGTTTAATTGAATTCTAGTTCGGCTATTCAGATACGATGTTATTTTCTATAGTTTACCTTACTGGGAGGAATTTTCGGTTACTTTTTGCCGAAGACTAATCTTCTTAGGTAAAATCGGGCGCTAACGGAAAAGAGGTTTACACACGACAAAGTGCATAGAGATGAAGAAAGTAGAAATGCGGAATAGAGAAAGCGACCTAAATTAAGAATTTAAATATCTCTACGCAGTCCTTTGCACCCGCATGTAATGTCCACGACACGAAAAATACGAAACACGATCTGGGACACGAGTTTCATCAAAAAGAAAATTTTAAATATAAATTAATATTTACTTTTATGAGGATAATATTTTATTAATTTTTTATAAACTAAAAAATTCATATTTTCTTATCCATGATTTTTAATTATATGGAAAGAATAAAAATTCTGAATAACGGCTTTAATTGTTTAACTGGATTGCTTTGATAATTGGATTAAAATTTAAAAATAAGGCTTAAAAAATAAGCGGGATTTTGACGCAAGCGCTTCTCCTTTTCGCTTTGTATAACATGTATCTTAAAACGCTTTCTGAGTGAAAAGCTTTCCTCTAAGTGAAATGAAATTTGGAGAAACTGTAATTAAGCTATAAAATATCACCACGGCTAACCTAACTACCTTTATAGCATTAAATCAACCAGATTCAGCTTTCAGCAGTACTATACATATAGCTTAATTGTGCTAACTAAGGTTCGTATTCGTACCATAAATTTAACGCTAGATTTCATTCCCAGCGCGAGATAACGTTATATGTGATCTTCACGCGAGATAAATAAAATCGCAGATGTAGCTATATTTTACTGTAAATTTAAGGTATACATAGACATATCAAAAATTGCTAATTTATTTTCATTGTTACATTTATTTTGCTGTATATATATATATATATTTCACACAATTTTCTATATACAAATTAGATCTATAAAACGTACAACTGAAATTATAAACATTTTCTTCAAGTTTTTATACATGTATATTTTAACATTACAAATTTCATCAGAAATTAATGTGCTTTTACTCGTGCAATTCAGAAGAAGCTGTCCAAACGGTTTCTCCTGTGAAAATCAAAGTAAACAAGCGAGGAAATACCAAAGAAATTAATACGCGAATCAGCGAACACTGTGCAGTCAGACGCGTCTGAAAGTCTTTCTAATAACAAAGATGAAACGCAGTGGAGCGAGGGATGGAAAAAAAATGAAGAAATTGCACGTCGACGTTGACGTAAACACGCGAACAACGACGCTATTTTTCCAAGCTCATGGGACTCACGAGATAACGATCGGTCACGGATTCCTGCTGCTCGTCTGTCGGCGAGTTTCGTCGAACACGATGTCTCTCGGTTGCTTACGATCCCCGGCTTGATCCTCGCGAGGCAAATAATTGACTTCTGAGCCGGGTTTCCCGACGCCGGAGAAAAGCCATTACCGGAACGATTCGATTTCCATGGACCGATAAGTTGATATCGATCTGCGGCTCGCTGCCGGCGCTTCTCCCGTCGATATCTTTCCGGATTAACGCGATTGAATCCCAATCGTGGTTCTTTACGAAACTCAAGTTGACATTGTAATGTACAAGAGCACGTCTTTTCGACGATCTTCTTATTGCCACGATCGAATTAAGTCGAGCACTGATCAAGTCGGTCCGATAAAGTGTTTGAAAAAAGTAGGAATAATTATCGTAGAAACAGGAATTCCGCTTGTTTTATCGTCGGATAAATGGAAAATTATAAAATAGTATAACAACGCTCTTCCTAATTATTTAAAATTTTAATACTTTTTTCCTGAAAGTTATATAATATTTTTAATTATAAAAATTATATTATGAAACGTGTTTCATAATATAATTATATAAATAGAGTACAATTTAATTAATTATTGTTAATTCGAATTATTTATTAATTTTTATATTATTAAGAAATATTTAAAAAAATTTTATTACCAATATTATAAACATTTTGATATTGGTAATAATTGCTCCATTCCGTGTATAAGTAAATACGCTTAATGATTTGGACTTGTTTGTTTAGAAACAAAATTCATTGAATTATTTAATAATGTTTATTTAATATTTTTCAATTTGCGAATCATTATTAATAATAATTGAACAATTATTTCCAATATTTGAAATAGCATGAATCAATATTTTTTATGTATAGTAATATGAGTCAATGATCGTTACGCCATTTTCAGTAATATAAGTCAACAAAGCGGGAAACATTATAAGTAGTACATATCAATTTCTATAAAAATTTTTACTATCAATAGTATAAATTCAGCAATACAAATTAAAATTAATACAAATTATTGAATTTATATATGTAAGAGAGATCTTCTTGATTGTTATTAATACAAGAGAGCTAATTAATTACATAAATTAAACATATGTATTAATAACAAATATTATATTTATATTAATTAAAATAAAAAAGATGAACACACAAAATTAAAATATTACAACTAATATTGATATAAATTCATTTACAATTAAATATCTCTTCTCGTTACATTATTTTTTAACAAATGAAAAAATCTCATATTTTAACTAAATGTATCATATCGCAAAACGCATATTGAAACAATATTGATGATAAAAAGGATAGAAAGGGATAACGTTGCTACACTTTCTAGATATAATAATAGGAAGGGAGAAACAGGGAACAATACCTTGTTAGTAATAATGTTATGGATTTAGTTAACTGATTGCGAGTCGTAGAAGGTTCTATTGTACTTGCGGCTGGTTAATGATAGCCGCGCTCATCATTGCTCATAATTCATCTATCCTTATCGCACAGCTTATCTTGTTGCAGGAAGCTGCTTCAGGCAACAGTAAGGGCCAATCGCACGGGTCATTTCATGTGGGTGGGTAGCGATTCATGGGGCGCCAAAGTTCATCCCGTCCGGGATCAGGAGTTCGCGGCGGAAGGTGCTATTACCATTCTGCCCTATAGGAACGCTCTTAAAGGTAAAGGACCCTTCCTGTACTTGTACGATCCTATCATAGTTGAATTAATTGAAAGAATGTTTACCCTGAGTTTACCTAATCAAGGTGAAACTAGAGATAAAATCAATAATTTCTGAAGATAAAATATTCAGGAGAAACGCAATGTGTGTGTGTGTGTGTGTGTGTGTGTGTGTGTGTGTGTGTGTGTGTGTGTGTGTGTGTGTGTGTGTGTGTGGAATTACAATTATAAATATAGATTTAAGTATCGTATAGTTTTAAGGATGGGACAAATGGACAATTTGATTGAAGTGCTGATTCACTTAATTCGTTCGACTTGTATACCTGTTCAAATTACTTACTAATTAAATTACTAAGTAAATCGTTTAATTGTGCTAACTCTCTTTTAGTTCTTAACGCGTCTGATCCGCTTTACCGAGCCACAATTGAATTTCCTTGTCACCGAAGTTGCTTACTGTACAACTTTGTTGCCGCGGTAGCGATATTCAACTTTGGCTCGACGTTCATTAATCTCACATGACAAGTGAGTAATATTTTCTGCTTCCGATTATGTCGCATCATTCCCGTCTCTCCTGAGTTGGGATTCGCAAACCAAAGAAATGAACGCGACGGGCGGCACTTCCGTTTCGTACCAAGTAATTAACACAGTGTCGAACTCTCATTAGTCGAACCCAAATTACCAGAAATTACAGCCTACCAAGTACCGAAAAAGATAGAATTTATCATCAAGATGGTCATTAATTATATAAATTGTCTGATTTGAAAGAGTGAGGACAAGATAGGACAAATACAATAACTTCCTTGATGATCACTTATCATTATCATTATTCTTGATTATTTTTTAAATTAGTCTCTGCACTATAATTATCCGAAATAATTTATTCTGAGACAACGTTATAACGTTTAAATTCATTCTGCGAATCTATCTTTGATATGATATGACAGAAAAAAAACAACAATTATATTATAATTTAACATTTAATTTTAAATAATATTCAAAATTTAGATAAAAAGCAATCTGAGAGAAAAACATAAGATAAATTTGAAATCTTAAATTTGTAACAGTAAAATTATTTCTTAAAGATAGATTTTTCTCTATTTAGATATTTGTTATATATGTAACCAAAACCAATATCAAAATAATTTTGAAGAATGCATTTATATAAAAAAAATATATCTATTTCATTAAAGTTGACTTCCTTGAAGAAAATGTTCTCAATATTTCAATTTTATAGAGATTGAGGAACAGGTAAGAAGTTTCCCCGACAAAAAGCCACAGATATATGGAAACTATCAAATCTTATTGAGCAATTCGATATCGTAACAAGTGTGGTTCAATTCTGATGTTGTAGGCTTTGATGATTACTATTTGAGCTTGCGACCGAGAATAGGCGACGAATGCGGCGGGCAGACAGAGAGCAATGTCCCACATAAGTCGTTGGCGGGGAAAATAGTGAATTGCCGGAATATCTGGTTCCGAGAGTTCTGGTCGCAGCATCACAAGTGTACTTTCAGCGTGAACGCATCGAGCGATGCGACGCGCTGCACCGGCTTGGAAAATCTCGTCGATTACGAACAAGAGGGTCTGGTGCCTTTTGTCGGTAACGTATTTATCTTATTATTATTGTTGAGAAAGGGGAGAGCGAAAAGACGAAAGGGAAGAGCGCCTCTACTTTATTCTTAGATCACGTAAAAAGTTACAAGAAAACAATTATAATTTATCGCATTAAATATCAACTTTTTTTATTTTCTGAAATATAACAATTAATGCATGTGGGCAATTTTTAATTTACATATATGTATGGAAAAGAGTTAATATAAAAGTTACTTTCCAACATTTTTCTCTTAGTTGAGAATCCGCAATTTTCGAAATGCAACACTCTGATAAAGCTCTTGTGAAAGAGATAATAATCCGTTTTAGGAAAATTATTGTTTAAAAGTTTGAAACTATTAATTTTTACGGAAAAATCGATCTGATAGATTTAATTACTTTTCGTCGTTGAATGTCCCGATGATTAAATTAGCACATCAATTATAATTTTATCATAATGTATAAAAAAATGTAAATGAATGATGTGAATACAGGATGAATTGTTTTCATTCACATCGTGACAGTTAATTAATTGCGGAAAGTGCGAATCGGAACAGTTCGCTGATAGGGAACGATTCGTGATCATTTGTATCCTGAAGTGTGAAGGAAATGATGAAGGTGCAGGGTGAAAGAGTGAGGAGCAAAACGAGTGGAAAGATAGTTATCAGTGAGAAGAAGAGTGAAAGGGAGAGGAAGTATTCTCGGCAACCCTCCAACTTTTCGTCAGCCTTCGATTATTTTTCTAGCCCAAAAACAGAAATGGAAAAAACTTAGTCGTCTCCGTTCGACCGTAATTCCGACAATATATGACAAGACTTACATCACGCAGTGAGATAACAGTGCGCCTCAATCGATTATTTACCGCGCAATTTACTTTCGTTCCTAGCCGATCTCGCATTTTATAAATTATCCACACCATTTTTTCACGTGTGCACGTGCAGTTCGCGAACTCGAATCAATTAATACGTCTATCTTTTCTTTATTTGCAAAGTGTAAGAATTTGAAAAATACAATTAATATAAACGAAAAACAAATAAATATATATATATATATATATATATATATATATATATATATATTACTAAAATAAACAAACAAAATAAATATATATATTTATTTATTTCATTTGTTTATTTAATAAATATTTTTTGGGTATATTAAATAATATAATTGTAATTGAAGTTTTATTTTAATTTATACTTTTGTATTAATAATGATAAATCATAAATCCTTTTTGATATTTATATTTATATTTAAAGAAATTTATTATATATTGGACTTTCTTAAGATACATTTAACGTATTATAAACGCATTTAAATTTAGAACAAGCAAACTGAGTTGAGTTAGAGACTTGAGTTAGAGTTTCAAAGAGAAACATAAATTTCACACAATTAATTCTAGGTCATCGTTTGCTCGTAAGCATCCGCCAGTGTTTGCAATTAACCGCAGCTGACTGCTGTACTCCGTGATCCATTAGATTGCGTACCTTCCGATGGACCAGATCGAATAAACTTTCACGACGAACTTCCGCGAGGTGAAGCCACGACAAGTGGAAAGGAATGGCGGCGAATCGAGGCGAAGCAATTTTCCTCGGCTATAATTTTTGCATTAACAAACACGTCCGATGGCGCGTGAAAAGTTGCACGAAATCAACCGTCGCGTTTTCCTCGCGGATCTCGCTTGTGCTCTTTTCTTTCTTGCATTTTATCCTCCCGTAAGATAAATGATGGGGGTCTTGTTGAGTGCGAAGCGATCGGAAACTCTCCACGATTGAGTGCACGACGATGGTAGATAAATCTTCTTATTAGCTGCCACGGAACGTCTTTTCGCTCCGTAAGCAACAATTTGCGCTTCCATCTCTTTATCCGTAAATAAATAACTAAAAAACATTGGAACTTGCTATCGTATAACATAAAATCTTTGAGATGAATTGAAAAAATAAGACTTGTCTGATTGCACAAAATATCTCGTAAGTTGGAATCGAATTACATCCGACAGCGAGCTCTTGATGAATTATACGAATAAGATTATAGAAGCATATATAAAAATTTATTTATTGTCTTTCTGGACGAATCATTTTGTTTTTCAAGAATTTTTCTGAACAAGAAATTTTCTATTTTGTATGTTATCAAGTTATCATTTCTTTTTTTTTAATATTTTACAACTCATTCATTTTTAGATTCATAACTTTTTTAATATTTAGAAACAAATATTTTAATTATAAAAATTCAACCAAATTATAATATATGACATTTATACATTTGGGAAGCTCTAAACGGTATCAAGTAGATAACACATATTTATAGAACGTTACTGAAATCAGATTTATTTTTGTATTATTTGCAGTGGATGCGGTTTACGCTATGGCACACGGTGTTCATAACGTTATCGAGGAGGAATGCGTAAATAATTTGGGCACGCCGCACTATTTGTGTAAAACACTTGAACCAGCACCAGACGGTCCGCGACTTCTTCAACACATTCGCAATGTCACTTTCATCGGTGAGTAACGCAAAATTCTTTAAAAATAATCTTTAATTCATTATTATAATTTAAAAAATTTTAAGGTAGAATTTCAAGATGCTATGAAGCTATATATGTTTATAATTTTATTTAAAAAAAATATAAATCTTTTATAGTATAACACTTGCAGATTTTAATAGTCGAGTATGGAAATCGCGTATCGCGTTTGTATAATAACACAAAGCCAGCGTTGACTAATTGGTCAAATACTTGTTAGCGTTTTCCGCATGCTGAATGTGAAAAAAAAACCTGTTAAATTGAGAGGCTCGGACAAATCAATCAATTATATCCGCGAGAAATTCCGCGTACGCCGAGCTGCAACACTGCGTCATCCCGTGTGAAGCGATCTATCAGTGACGTCAGAGGGTGGCAATCTCGACGCCTCATCGATATTGCAATTAAAACACTTTCCCCGATTTAACGGCACGTAACGGCACTTTCACGTTGGTGGATTCTGCGACACAATTAAGATTGCCCCCTCGTCGTTACGGCGCACTATCAAATGGCAATGCGATTAGCCCGACCGGCTATCTTCCGATTCCGTATCAGTCGAGATCTATCGTAACGTTATTACATAACGTTCAAACTTACTTTCCTTACTTTCTCGAGTTTCTCGATATTTTCACAACACCGCCAGCTCATCTTTCAATCTCGCGCTCTTGCGCGCTTTGTCTGCTTTTAATCCTCGAGGCATTTTGCCTGCGCTATCAGGATGTTAGCTCGTGTCGGAATATCTTATCTCAAATAGCTCCCGTTTATCAATATTAGCTGTATAAATGAAGGATAATCTTTAAGGTAAACTGCAGAAGAACCCAAAACCGTCGTGCATCCGTACCAGAAGTTTATTCTTCGCTTAATCCACGTTGAATATTTTTTGCGCAAAGCTTTAATTCGAGTCGTACAAATGCCAAGTCATTTCATTGTAATAAAAAGGTGTTAGCCAAATCGTATTTGACAAATACATAATGGAAATCTAAGAGAAAAAAAACTGCACTTCCAAATTATTTACCGATGAGTTTAAAACAATTTACTTTAAAATGTCATTTAATCAAAAATTTTATTTCGTAATGCTTAAATATCAAAACAAAAATTAGATTGCGCATTG